GCAGCACACAGAGTGAACACACAGAGTGAAAACAAGCGTTTGAATACATATAATTATAGTTGAAAGGTTATTTAACAAAAACACATTTTACTTATTTATTTTTTTTTTTTTCACCCAAATGTGTCATTTGATGTCATATTCTGATTTCAGGGTTCGTAGTCTGATTGTGAGAATTCTGTCTTTGGTCTCCAGATGTGCCGTCGATGGACACATATCACAGTCAGATCGAAGATCAACATTCAAAGATTTCTCAACATTTCTCTCACGATTGTCACCTTTTATCTCACAGAGCCCAAAGTCGCAGAGTGTAAAGGGGCTTTAAAGGCTTTATGGGTGCTGGTTACATCAGTAAGAGATGAAAGCTGATTGACAGGTGCTGGGTGGGACCGACCGTGGGGGAGAAGGGGGAGACTAAAAACACACTACACACATCTTTTTATTAGAACTGTCCCAGTGCTCAGGGTCACTGTTTGAAATACTGAGGACACAACAGACACATTACTTTATTGTGTCTGTTTCTGCTGCCATTATTAACTCACTTTATAGCTGCAGCCTGCTTATGGTAAGAGTTTGACAAAAGAAACTATTAAAGTGGACGTATTCTATTCTGGGACTCCTCTAGAGTAACTTTGCATGATGATTTATATTGGCCCTTCATGCAGGCAAGGAACTGTAGGAACCGGAGCTTTGGAGTTTGACCCAAGCTGGAGATTTAAAGTCAGGATATTTCGGTCCCGGAGTACACGTTTAAAAGGGGCATAAGTTACTGCATATATTTCTAAAGGTTATTTTGGTTAATATTTTTGCTTTTATTTTTGTGGTTTGGCGGGAGAGGTCGACAGGAACCTCTGGGAGAGAGAGTGAGTGAATTTAAACAGGACTTACAGAACCAGGAAACAGGGAGATCTCATATTTTCAATTTATTTAAATAAAAGTATTGACAAATTCAACTTCTGACAGGAGTATGTAAGCAGTATATGTCAGGGATTCAATTCTGTCCGTCCAAAACGTACATTATAAGATATGAAGTCTACATAATATTTGTATTAGCCTTCCCATTTATACGTTTGTTTACATGAAATCATTTTGCTTCACAGAGCTGGACGAGGCTCAGACGACCTCGATGGGGAAATAAAAGTTTAAAAGTTGAGTTTAATCCTTAAAATGGAGGTAAGTAAAGAGACAGGGATGCTGAAGCAGATCTCTCAAGTGTGTTTGTTAGAGTCTTAGCAGAAGCGATGACACAGCTGACTTTAAGCTTTAATATTCCAGCGCATAAATATTAAAGTCAGAGTTTTCCTTTTGATTCTAAGAAAATATCCACTCACTGAAACATAAATGAGTTCAAAGACGTTCAAAGTTGTGTCGTGTGCTTCTTCCTCTTCTATGGACGAGCTCTTCTGGCAGTCACACAGTAAATAATCTGAAGCCTTGAGGTGTCCACAGCCCGTAACACTTGACAATCAGCATATATCACCTTCCTGCGTAGACGCTGCAGACCTGAGAGCAGCTTCAGTTTGTGAAAATGTATTTGCAGGATTACAGTTTCTTTAAAAATACACTGAGCAGAGGACACACTGTGGATGCAAAGTCTTTGCATGTTTAATTATTTCCGTTTCCATTTTTCTTTTCTACGGTCACATTGTTGTGTTGTCTTATAGAATACACTTACATCAATACTTCTTTTTGATATTGTTTCCTATTTATTTGCTTATTTGGTGTTGATATAATCCAGAAGTAATGAGTAAGAAGTTAGCTTGCCTGCTGTTTGCAGGATACTTTGTCGGCAGGCGCCAGATTACGTATTACAGCGTGACGGGGTACGGGGACGACGTAGCCTTTCATATGTGGCCCAAATCACATACAGGTCTGAGATTTTGCAGTGCAGCCTCAATGTGAACAGTCACATCAGAATTCATGTGGCTTTTAGACTGACATTGGTCATGCTTCAGGACCGTGACCCGTTGAGCTATGAGCCACATTTTACAAATAATGTCAACAACCGAACACGAATCAGAGCAGATAAAGCTCGCAGTGTGAACGCAGCCTTACAGACACTCAGAATTCACATTTATATTGTGTGACATTTTGTCACTTTAGTTTCAGAAGACAACACTTCATGAGGAAGTTTTCAGGCTAATTTCATCCACTGTATAAAGTATATAGCACTCTAAATAAAATAAAGCAAGATTAAAACAGTTTTGATCTTTTATTGGTTGTATTTAGTTTTGTTTCCCTTTGCATGAGCAAAATCTGGGGTTTTATGTGTTTTATTTTTTTCTATCCTTTACCACATGAAGAAAACTGTAATTATGGTTTGCTCTCTGTGTAATCTGCTGCTCACAGTCAAAAACTAAACAGCTGGAGTGATTCATGACAAAGCTGAGGTGTGTGTGTGTGTGTGTGTGTGTGTGTGTGTGTGTGTGTGTGTGTGTGTGTGTGTCTGTGTGTGTGTTAAGCCTACCGTGAATGAGGCAGCAGAGCGTCAGGACATGCAGGGTGAAGATCCGAGCGTCCATCCTCAGCAGCTGTGACTCACGGAGACGCGAAACTGAAACTGGGTCCTCCTGAACCGGCAGAAAACACCAGAGAGAGAGAGAGAGAGAGAGAGAGAGAGGAGAAGGATCAATGGAGGATTTGCTCTGAGTGGGAGAAGGGGATGCTCCTCCCCCCAGAAAACATCCAAAGAGGAAAATTGGGCAGCTGGAGACACTGAGGAGGCGTGTGAGTGAGTGTGTGTGTGTGTGTGTGTGTGTGTGTGTGTGTGTGTGTGTGTGTGTGTGTGTGTGTGTGTGTGTGTGTGTGTGTGTATGTGTGTGGATGATCTAGTGTTTCATTTTAATGTTTTTAAAGGTTCCACATATCAGATTCTGAAGCATTTTACATATTATTTTTATGTATTAATCACATCCCAATTAGTGACGGGTTGTTATTTAAAATGAGACCTTGCCTGACTTTCTCTGTTGCCTGTGGACTGATTTACACCGATCAGCAGTACACTGTGAGCACTGGACTCCCTGACTGGTCCCAGACCAACAGACTGCTCTGCACTGTGTGTTCTGACCCCTTTCTATCAGAACCAGCATTAACTGTTTCAGCAGTTTGAGCTACAGTAGCTCATCTGTTGGATCGGACCACACAGGCCAACCTTCACTCCCCACCTGCATCAATGAGCCTTGGATGTAGCTTAATACTGTTAGCTTGCTTCATCCAGACTCCCGGGGCTGATCTGGCTGGTTTGTCATTTGTAAGTTCTGGTGTTGGTTGCTTTGTGGTGTTGGCTGATGGCTGATTTGTAAGCGGTGAGCTAGTTAGTAGCATGGAAATAATGGTCCAAATAAAATATAGGAACATTGCAGATTGTAACGTGTTGGGATCCAAGGAGACCTTTAAACATGAACTTGGACCAAAAGGGAAATGTTGGAATATGGCCATGTGCTGAGACAAAGGAAGTGTCCTGGGGCCTGTATGTAAGTCACAAAACCTCTCTAGTAGTGGCTAGAGACAAATCAGAATCAGAAATACTTTAATAATCCCAGGGGGAAATTATTTTTGTTACAAACTCCAGTTATACAAGCAACATCTATTAAGAACAAAATATAAATATGTATATAACGATATATATATATATATATATATATATAAAAGATCAAATGTACAGTTTAATAACATACAAAAAGTGCAAAAAATGATTGTCCGTATTCGAGTCAGGTTACAGAAGGGGAAAGGGAAAGGAAACACGCCCGGTCGGAGGACAAAGGCCATGATACTTTTATGGCAAGCACGCGCACACACACACACACACACACACACACACACACACACACACACACTTCTTTCCCCTCTAACTTAGTTTCCATTGCCAATACTGTTGTTGCTGTGCACCTGTCTGTCTGTCTCTCTCTCTCTCTGTCTCTCTGTCTCTCTCTCTCTCTCACCCCAACTGGTCGAGACAGACGACCACCCACCTAGAGCCGGAGGATCTGTCCTAGGTTTCTGCCTTTTTAACAGGCAGTGTTTCCTTGCCCTTGTCGCCAAGTTCTTGCTCATGGTGGTACTGTTGGGTTTCTGTAAATAATGTTAAAGAGTTCGGTCTAGACCTGCTCTATTTGAAAAGTGTCCTGAGATAACTTCTGTTATGAATCGGCGCTATACAAATAAAATTTAATTGAATTGAATTTAAGTTAGATTGTATATTGTGTATTTTTCCTCTGCTTTTATTATTTCTCTTTAATAAATGTTTGTGTTTATATATGCTGGCCTATTTAATTTCGTACAAGAGTGGGTGATACCAACCTCTTCTATGTAGAACTCCAAAGCTCCCACTTTAGCTATTATTAATGATTTTGGTTGTAGTTATTAATTTAATTATTAATCTGACTTCTGAATTAATAGTTTAGTGTAATTTTTATGAGACTGATCAATCGATTATTGGTTATGGTTCCCTTATTTAAGGGTGGTGCCCAGAAGAACTTAAATATGAATTAAAGTCATTTTCTATTATCTTTTGATAATTATACTTTTTGATAACCATTAATTGATTAAACTATTACAGTTAGACCACTCTAACATCCTACGTTGTAGAGCCCGACAAACGTTATTCTAAATATGATTGTCAGTTATTAACGTTCAGTCTAATGTTTGTCGCTGTTGGCCGACGCCCAGGATGATGCTTGCTCGTGACTACATAGATCACTTAATGACCACTGGTGTCACTTATAGCAGTTTTCTGGAAGAAAGAAACTTTAACTTTATTGCTACACAGTCACTGATCCTTATTTAAACACAAGGCCGCTGTCCTTAAAACTGGAATTGATATTGAGATTATATGTATTTGTACTATATTTTGATGTGAAGAAAGTCACTGAAATGCAGTTAAAGATGAACCTTTTGACCAATCATCAGTGTACTCCCTTGACAGAAGTAAATATCCCTCTTTTATTCCTGTATGAAAGAAAAAGTCTCTCTTTGTTCTGATATTTCTGATTTATAGGGTTTCTCATCACAGTATGTTGTGTTGCTGCATACCAACATTCAACATAAAGTTTTCACACTGCAACAAACAGCCTGAGGTGGTGGTGGTGGTGAGGTGAGGTGAACACTTTTGGACCCCGTGGACACTGCTGACTGCTAGAGACAAACTGGTTCAAATGTCCAAGACACAAATACACATATTGTGTCTCAATCTGAAGTTGGAGAAGATTTCTGTCACATTTTACGCTCCTTTGCAGACAGATGCAAGTCTTCCCAGTTCATCACCAGCAGATTAGGATTACTTTATTGTCCATTAAATTTGCATAAAATGGAAATTCATCTTTGGCACTGACATATATCAACACACACTTTTGAATATAGTTCTTGTGTGTGTGTGTATTATAATATATATATGTAATACATCTTATGTAGCAATTTACATGGTACTCAAAGACAGTTCACATTAGTTAAAACACATAGGTTAAAAAGTTAATAGTGTTACGACATTACGTTACAATTGGAATTGGAAGAGAGATGGAATATAACAATTGACAGGTTCGGGTTAAAATCAGGTGTTTTAATTAACTAAGGAGAGTGTGCTTGCACAATGAAATATAACAAAAGAGAGGCTATACAGGTGCTGACAAATAACTAGTACACAAAATGAAAATGACTGGATAACACTGAACAAAAAGAGATCAGCACCCATAAGCTTACAAACTAGTGACAAAAACCAAACTAGCAATTATTAAGCAACTTAAAAGGTCACAAAAGATTACAAAGGCACAGGCTGAATCCACTCAGATAACAGCCAGGCAACACTAGAAAGTACAGACACTCTAACACAATGGTGTGCAACCAACAGCAAGGCGAACTGATCACTAGTTCACAGCCGCCCTGAACTGTGGACACACAAGCTTATTTAAGTGCAGCTGGGGTTGATTGAAGACTCCTGATTGGTAGCTTCAGTGGACTTGCAGCCACACCGATCACTGATGCCAGGGGACAGCAACCAGGAAGTAGGCGGTCTCTGCTCCAGAAGGACCAATCCTCAACAGGGAATCACATGAAACACCATAATGAATATACACTAAAGCGGCGGCCGTAACAATAGAAACAAAACAGGTAAATTCGGATGCAGTCTGTAAGAAGAGATAGCAACATTTGTACTGTACTTGTACGTTCTGTGATTGTTTGGTACAGTAAGCTGAACATAAAGGATAAAAACCACCTGAACCACACTGTTAAGGTTGCTGGGAAGGTGATAGGTGTTTCACAAACCCCACTGATGTTTATCTTTGACCATCATGTTTTGGACTGTACAAACCACTCCCTTCACTTTCAGTTTGAAATTCTTCCCTCAGGTTCTACCAAGTGCAATAGAAAATTTCAAATTTCCCATTTGGGATAAAAAAAGATAACTGTGCACTGAACAAAATCTTTTTATGATTTAACAGTCTTGAAGGCAAATGCAGTTATAAGAATACATTAGATTACATCAATAAGTAGCCACACATAAAATGAGAAAAGTAAAATATACACATTGATCAAAATCTGAACAAACACAATGTATGCCCCATACATCACCAATAAATGTATTACACTCAATTATGTGAATCTTTCTGTAGAAAATCAAATGGTTGTTCTACTCAGTGCGATTGACAGGAGAGATGATCAGAGCGGCAGAGTTTTTACCCGCATGATTAAGACCGGGACCAAAGTATGGGTAAAGTTTCTCCGTGAAGGAGCAGCCAGTAAAGGAGTAGATAAGAGCTGCAGCATCAACGTCATAAAAGGAGACCAGACCCTCCTCATAATCCACAAACACCCCCACCTTCTCAGGCTGAGACTGCAGAGAGAGATGGACTCCAGGGCCAGCAGCCGCTTGGTACTCATTTTCATTCCTCAACCATATCGTCCAGTAACCATCTTGAGGAGACAGTGAGATTACTCCCTTCCTGTTGATCGACTCTCTGGCCACTCCTAAATCCCAGTCAGTCTTCCCTTTAACCTGAACCTCGTAATAAAATCTTCTTGAAGAGAAACTCTGCTGTGCTAAGACACAGGGACAATAATCAAATCTCTTTGGATTGTCTGGAAGATTCTTCTTTACATCACCACAGTAAAATTCTTTCTCATCATCAGACAGGATGAGCCAGGCGTTTGCTTTATCAGGATCTAGTGTCACATCCACTGCATACTGCTGGACCCTCTTCAGCTCAACCTTCTTCATCTGTTTACTGAGTGTCTCCTCCAGCTGATTCACAGCTCTCACCACAGTCCCCTCATATGAAGGTGGATGGACGCTGACTTCTGTCCAGTCTTTGGTGGTTGGAGCAGCGTTCAGGGACAGAAGGCTTTGGAGGAGGTGGAGGTGGTCTTCAGACTGTGAGAGCTGGTCCACCTCAGAGCTTTTCTTCTTCAGCTCAGAGATTTCCTGTTCCAGCTCTTTGATGAAGCCTTCAGCCTGTTTCTCTGTCTTTCTCTGCTTCTCTTTGATCGTGTGGATGAGCTCGGCCTGGCTTCTCTCAACAGACTCCTTCAGAGCGGTGAAGACCTGAACACCATCTGCTATCTCTCTGTCTGCACCTTCCTTACTGAGCTCCACTGAGCGTTTGATCTCCTGAATCTTCAGTCGTCTCTTCTGGATCAGCTGCTGAATTTCAGCCTCAGTCTTCCCCAGCTCGGCCTTCTTTCCTTCATATTCTTCTTTCAGAGGAACAACATCATGTGTCTTGTGGTCTAAAACAGTGCAGAGCACACATCTGGTCGGTCTTACAGAACAGCTCCAGCAGTTTATCGTGCTTCGTACACATCCTGTCTTCCAGGTTCTCCACAGGGTCGATCAGCTGATGTCTCTTCAGGCCTGACATTGTCAGATGAGGCTCCAGGTGAGTCTCACAGTAGGAGACCAGACACACCAGGCAGGACTTCAGGGCCTTCAGTTTGGTTCCAGTGCAGACGTCACAGGGAACTTCTCCTGGTTTGGAAACTTGTTGCTCTGAGCTGCTGCTGCTGGCTTTCTGTTGAGCAAGGGGGGCTTCAAGGAAAAAAGCATTAGAGAATCTAACCAAACAGTCAAAATCTCATATTGTTTCAAATCTCCAAAGACTGATCTCATCTTATTAGAAGCACGTTGTCCAAAATGTTTTTACTCTCTAAAAACTGCATTACAGCATTATAATCTGTTATAAACATTAAAAATATGACTGAATTCTAACACTTTGAAAGAGAATAAAAAATATAAACATAACCATTGTATAGTCCACTACTCAACATATTAATTAACTACTGTGGACATTTTAATGTTAGAATGCAAATAACATTAACAGTTTATCAAATAAACATATGTACTCATGTGGCTCTAGGTTTGGTTTCAGCAGTTGGAACAACGAAATAAAACAAAAACAAACATAAAACAGTGTGATGCCCCCCCCCCCACTCTGGTTGTTCTGTTCTGTGTCTTTTCCCCTTTTGTTCTTTACAGGAGACAGAGTGGCAGGGGTGTGACTGCTAGATGAGTTACACGTGATTGCTCCCTGATTTCAAGGCTATATAGGGGGTTGAATCAGTTAGTTCTCTCTCCCTCCTTCCAGCCAGCAGGTCCTGGGTTTGCTAAGATTTGTTTATCCGGTTACCTTTTCCCATACACGACACTCTGCTCATATCCACACACTCACTATACTACTGACAACACTGATGTACATATTTTTCATACTTTGTTTTGAGTAAATATTGGTTTAATACATTTATTTCGTCTTAAACACCTTAATTATCTGTGTGGTCTCCCTTGATGTGTATGAACTTTGATGATAACATTAACCCTTTAAATCAACTGAGCAAATAACAAATTATGATAAAATAAGTCAGAACATTTTTCAAAATAATAGTAGAAAAAACTCAAATTCTACACAAACCTCAGGATTGGACCCCCACAAATAGACTGATTGTTGTACAACTGAGAAACATTTGTTCTGTTCATGTGATGTTTATGACTTATGGGCATATTTGTGTTTATATTATCCTGTGTGAAACCAAAGACAGTTATCCTGCTTGGCTGGACAATACAGTTTATTTTTTTCAACCTACAAAGGAATCAGCATATCCAGCTGTGAGACAGTGGAGTAAAAAGTACAGTTTTCCTCCTCAGATGTATTAGTGAAAAAATAACAAACCTCAAGAAACAGAAATCCTCCAGTAAAGTATGGCAACCTGATTGTTGTACTTTTGTACGTCAGTAAATGTACTTTGTTACTTCCTCCCTCTGCCAATGTCTCCTTCTGACTGTAACCATTTCAGTTTGTATCTTCCAACACTATACAGTCTATGATCCATTATAGCAAATAATCCCTCTGCAAGTGTTGAGCACCTTTTCTCTATCTGAAAGACTTCTCACAGATTACATCAGAAGGAGGAAGATAAGAGTTTTAAACTGAGATGGAGAATCCTTCTGATTGGACCACAGCAGTAGATTAATGAGCTTCTCTGTGATTCTCCCTTTTTAGAAGTAGTTGAAGTACAATACTTTTTACTTCGTACCAATCAGACGTAGATCTCATTATTCTGCATTAATATAATGTGCTTCAGCATCAGACTGTAGTTATTTATTAAGAGCATGTCCTCATGAGGCCACAGGCTGCAGTTTGTTATGAACTCCACTAGAGGGCGTCCTCAGATGTCACTTATTCTCTACAAACTTGTAGCACTGGTTTAGTGTTCATATCAGCTGCTCCAACACAAACCTTCAATAACACTACATTATCTTATCTTACACTACCAACTATCTCAGAGGTGATTTGGGTAAATAAATTAATTATTAGACACAATAAAACCTGTATTTTGTTCATTTGAAAAAACAAAGAGAGAAAATCAAGGAAGGTTCCAGGATGCAGCAGTTCTCCTATATATATATATACACAATGATCTGATAATAAAAAGAGGTCTGAATTTGGCAAACAGACATTTAAACAACAGCAAATGCTTCTTATTCTTGAGTACATTGTTTCTGATGATTAAACAGTCTTGAAGGCAGGTAAAATTGGTGTGCTGTAGTAATAAGTAGCAATGTGACACATCAAAGAAAACAGAAATAATAAACTAATTGATAAAAAATAACAGTGTATACCCTATACATCACCAATAAATATACATTTATTACATTAAATGATGTGAATCTTTCTGTAGAAAATCAAATGGTTGTTCTACTCAGTGTGATTGACAGGAGAGATGATCAGAGCGGCAGAGTTTGTAAATGAATGAATGGAATCAGACTCATTCCCTGCAGTTTGCTTTATTTTCATGCTTTCAAAACACCACTTTTGAAATGTTAATCAGTCCCTCCAAGAAGTTGCGAATGCAAAAATGAACACAAATTTATTGTAGTTTCCTTCAAGTTTCACCAGTCCCAAGCAAAATGTTGAGCAATACGTCACCAAACTACTAGAGATTTTATTCTCACTGGAACAAGACATCCGAAACCTGATCATTATTTGCTTAAATTCTTTCATAGAGTATGTCTAAGCAAGAGTAATGATGCCATGCTTTTTTAAGGGATTAAGATGTATCACAAGGATAGTGGAGGGTAACAAACTAATACATATAAGAGCAAATATTTCTAAAAGCAATGGCTATGCTATTTTGCAGGTGATACAAGAACTCTCTATAACTGACAAATAATGTAAGCATTCAGGAAGCACTCGTGTGTCACTCGCCAGACGCCATTTTCTGACAGCATGGTGCAGCCTGTAGCCTCAATGGATTTGTCTGGCTGCCCTTCTCCCCATTTGGTGAAGGTCAGAGGTCGGTTATTCATATCTGCCTCAAAGTTCCCCTCTGCTTTTTTATTATTGACGTTGATCCAGGCTTCTTTGTTAACGTCCCCGAAGAACTGCGTCAGTGCAATGTTCTCCTCCTCGTTCTGGGGCAAAGCCAGATCTAAACCTTGTTGGGAGCAGAACTCGACGGCCCTGGAGAACGAGTGTCTCTCCTTGTAGGACACAAAGTATTTCTGACCAACTCTTCGGACAAAGTCATAGTTTATAGCTGCAAAAAGAAAACAGCAAGCAGCAAATCAGGAATCAATCAGCACATATACACATTTGTTTCCCATAAACTTTAAACTGTATCACCATCCTGGCATTGACATGCAGCATCAGACACTCTGAAATAACTAAAGTTTTCCCCTCATCTAAATGAGATTAATGGAGTCCAGTACAGCAGCATTTAACTGAAAATATTTAGTTAATCCTTTCTCAAACATCCTACGTACACAGAAGAATAAGGTATACATATATTTCTCCATCCACATGTGCTCACTTCCATTTAGTCCTTGAATAGGTTACTTACTGAGCTCTACCTTAGCAAAGCTCTTCTTTAAGTGTTCAGTCTCCCGGATAGCAGAATCAATTGGATCTGGATTAAGGAGAGTAAATTCAGTTACCAAAGTTGCAATAAACTGGATCTCACTGATCTTCACAGTAACATTCACCTTACAATATAATGCAAACCAGAGCTGAATTACTGAATTTAATAATAATTATATATAATGTTCAGGATGTTTCACAGAGATATTACTTCAACTCTATGGTCATTGGAGATAGTTAGTGCTAAAGTGATTAGCTCATTAACTGGGTTCTTGTAAAGACCACGACTTATGTTTCTCAGTCCTCTCAGCTCCAGCCCCAGCTGTTCATTTTAAGTAATTCCAGAACAAATTTGGGGGAAATGACTTTACAATGATGCACATGACATCTAGTATATTTCCATTTGAGTATTGGGTTTCAATGTATCACTAAACATCATATGTGTTTGGAGAAGAGCTAGATCAAGCAGATGCACAATATATCTGATACTGTCACACAGTGAGGTATAAGATCATTTTATAGGGGAAAAATCTAATTCTTAAAGGGTTAAATCACTGTCAGGTTTATAAGGCTTAAAATGTAACACAAACCTGAATCCAAAAACGTGTCTTAACAAACTTGAAAAGCATTTTCTGTGTCCAGCAGTTGTCTGTATGTCAGCCCCGTTCAACAGCAACTAGTGTAAAACTTCCTCGCTCAGGAAGGAACAACTTCCCACAATAATAACAGAAAACTATTGTCTGCATGCTGAATTGTAATAAATGACATAGCAAGTACTCAACCGATGAAAGAATTCTATAAGGTAGAAAAAATTATCTGAAAGATAATCACCTCTTCCACACATTATTACTGCTCCAGGTGGTCCAACTGTTCCACGAACTCCACGAGGTCCAGTAAATCCTCTCTCCCCTATAAGAGCAGGTAAAAACTAATTAAACGAGCCTAAAAATCCAAACCCGCACCAAAAAATTTGAAAAAGAACATTTTTGATGGATGAAACTTACAGAGATGAGTTTATCAATCTAATTAATTTAATAATGTCAAATTTAAAAGTTCGGCCTGAGGTTGGGAATGGAAGAAGTCTTGTTGTTACAAGTCAAAGGGGTTCTTTAATGTCAGCCCTCAGAACTTTTTGGCCTGGAGGTGACAGTAGAGGACAAGTAAGATAATGACCAAAATACATTGGACCCATCCACTGTGAAGCAAGCAAGAAAATCTTTATTTTGTCTATCATATGTCTATGGTAACTTGCTTGTCAGTAGATAGGAAGCACCCCGGGGTCAGAGACACGTGATTACAGACATATACGATGCAGTGAGAACTCAGATGCCGCAGGGGAACGTGGGTCTGGCCAAACACTGACAAACTATGTCTCCACCGCTGTGTTCCCGACTGCACATTTTGCTGGTAAACTGGTTGTTTAAAAAGCTGGTGAACCACTCAAAACGCCTTTTACACTACAT